TTTTCTTCTTTTGTGATATTAGTCGTCGCTAGTTACGCGTTTGCTTTTATTTGTGCGCTGTTCGTTTGAGTTGTATAGATCCCTGTAAAAAGTCTTCCACTACTTTGTATGATTTCATTCTTGTTAGTGTTACTTCTCCGTCTGGTTTCTTAATTGGCATACATTGATTTCTCCCTATTCCTAGTCTTCTTTTAGCTGCTTTCATGCTGGTACCTGAGTCACTGCTTCATTTATTATTTGCAGTATTGAATTTCCGTACGTCTTCCCTCTTCTTTTTATTTTATGTCTTTGTTAGTTCAAACCAATTCTATCTTGTCCCTATGTTGACGGATAACTTTCATGTCTCTTACGTTTTGCATAAGCTGTTTAGTTTCTTACCGAGAGCTTGCTGGAGCTCGTTGTCGTTCTTTCCGCCTACTTCAAGTGCCAGCTTCTTTTATTATGTCATTGAAACTGTTTAGATTTGCGTCGATGTTGAGATCTTCGTCGCGGAGGAGTGAATATTGTTTGGATGTTTAGGCTAAATTCTGTGCTCTGATCCTCAAGTTAGCCAATTTGGCTGTGATGGTTACTCATTAGTTTGTCCTTTCCCTTCTGAGATGTATTTTAATTTCGCTCTCACCATTCTATGGTCGCTGCCTACATTTACTTTATTTATAACCTCTACATTTTTATTATATCGCGCCTATTTTGAAATTTGAAGTCAATTTCGTTTTTGACGTCAGAAGGCGACTTCCATGCCACTTCCGTTCTAGTCTTTTTTCGAAGGAATTAATTCATGATACTGAAGGTGATCGAGCCTCCGCAAATTCGACTAGCATTTTCCCCTCTCGTTCCTAGTGCCTATTCCATGGTTCCCCTACTGCGGTTTCGCCCTCTGTCTTTTTACCTATTTTGGCATTAAAATCCCCCATAATTATTGTGAAATGGGATTTTGTTCTCTCGCTGGCTAAGTGAACATCTTCATAGAAGCTCTCTATTTCTTCATAGAAGCTCACTGTGGCTGCAGGTTGGAGCAATATACTTGAATAATTTTTTAAGTTGTACCTAGTGTTTAGTTTATTGTTACAGAAGCCACTCTTTTCGCTGACACTATAGAATTCTACAATGTTCTTTTTCTAAGCGTTTGTGTATTAGAATCCTACCCTAATTCCTGTTTGCTACCCAGAGTTTTCCTCTCCAATAAGAGCACGTGTCCCTCATTTAATAACTTCTGCTCTTCACCTAGACTTCTAACTCGCAGAGTCCTACTACATTCCCATTAATGGAAAGAGTTCCTCTAGTAAAGCTAGTAAGTCGGATTCAGTTTCATGGTCCTTATATTGTATGTGCAAAGGTTCATCAACGTGGGGCGGCCTGTCTTTACCCGGATATTATTAGCACCCCCTGCTCCGGAGCGATTTCCTGATCGCCGCCGTAACCAGGGGCTCCTTCGCCTCCGGGGAATGGGGGCCGTTCCTGGATATTTTGTCTCATGCTTTGGGAGGTGGACAGCCGATTTACCTCCCCTACTTACTGGCTTAGGTGTATCTTGGTGGGAGGGGAGTAATTTAGCCGGCATGCCATTGAATAAGTCCCCCCAGCAGGTTTGGTCCTACCTGGAGTGGACTTAGGAGCGGGCAATGAGCACGCCTCCGCACTACTCCCGTGAGCTGGGCCTTAATATTTCAGAAGTGCATATATGTTTTTATTTTTATTTTTTTATTAACTTCATTTGTGCGTATGTGCACCTGATCGCAGACATATTCATTCCGCACATACTCTAATACTACGCATATGCTCATCCCACGCATATGCAATATGCAAGCATACACATTTATTCTTGTATCTATGCTTATGGATATGATACTTATTCTTACGTTATAAATAACTACATACATGTCCATCATAGTCTGGCCTAGTCATATGTTCACATCGCCTGTCCGTTTATAGCGCTTTATATGTTATTGATAAGTGAGTGAGTTACATGTGTATATTCACCCGTGTATATGTAAGCACCCCTTTTGCATACCTCGCAACCTACCTATCATTTACATACGCATGTATCTATCCCTGCAACTGTGGCTCACGCATCCGTATATGAGCACATACATTTGCAGCATACACTAGTGCCCCCCCCCCCTTACATATGTGTTATATATCTGTACTTGCTTTACATATAACTACCTCTACGTACATACATACGTACTTACATACATACATATACTTAATTATTTATCCACCTTCCTACATCCTGCACACACCTATATACGTATACCTTTACGTATACACATATAAATACCTACATATGTCTACCTATTCATTCACCCACGCATACACATAAACACGCACATTATACATACCTATATACACATGCACATATATTACATGCTTATATACACATGTAAATGTACACATCATGCATGATATATACACCATATGTACAAATTTGCATATTTTCGCCTTTAAACCCATGTATACCCTCATGTATAAGCACGGAACATACCCATATATAATGTAC